ACTGGGCAGCCGCCATCCGAGGTTTGCTTGCACCTCAGGCCGGCCCTGGACGGCTGGGGAGCTGAGGGGATTGGGGGACTCTGGAGGCAGGCACCCCGGCGGGGCTGTGGGGACTGGGTGCCACCATCTTGTGGCTGTGGGCACCTACCTCTTTGAGGGCAGGGCAGTTAATTAGTATAATCCCTCCTTATTGGCTGTGGGCACCACCATCTTTGAGGGTGGGGCAGTCAATTAGCATATTCTCTCCTTATTGGCTGTGGACACCACCATCTTTGCAACGGCATGAGCGTCAATTAGCATATTACCTCTTTATTAGATAGGATAACAGTATTTGTATATAGTCTGTATCTATATATAGGCTAAAGCAAAGTATGCCTACACATCACTTCATTAGCATGGATTCAGCGTAGTGCTTGGCAGATTCCAAATTCAAATTCAGGAACTTTATGGGATTTTTTCCCCCTGAATATTTTTGATCCACAGTTGGTTGAATACACGGATGTGAAACCCACCAATACAGAAGGCCACCTATATATTAAGTGAGAAGAGAATCTATGACAAACCCCTGTGAAAATGAATAATTAAGCTACCAGAGAAGAAAAAGGGCCTGCAAAGAACACAGAATGTTCAGATTTGTTATTCATTTGTTTGTATTGTTTTATATCTCTCTTTGTGAGCCACTGAACTCTAATAATGATATGGTATATGATAAAATGCATTCATCCCACTTGATTATTTTATTTTCTAATAATTTCTTTAGTAAACAGTCTCTTGCTCTGGCTTTCAGCAGCAATGTTCAGAAACCCTACTTACTTATCTAGTGTCCAACTGACTTTGATCTCTGGCACAAAGTTTCCTATGACTATGACTACCACCTGCTTTCTGATTACTACCTCACAGCCACCTTTAATATAAAGTAGAAGGTAAATATGTAGGTGTGGAGCCATGCAGACTGGTCTTGAGCTACTTATACAACCTTTCCAAGACTCAGTAAGTGGCTCATCACTCAGAACCTCCATGAGAATAAGAATCCTGTTTACCATGATATCCCTAGGGCCTGGCATGCCATTATTACAGCTAATATGTGTTGATTGAATAATTAATCCATAAAATGGGGACTCTGTCATATATCTATACAACTGTTGTTAGTACTAAAAGGTATAAATCTATAAATAAAAGCCTAAGCGACCATTACGGTGGAATGACCAGAATGACCAGTCACTATGATGTGCACTCACTACCAGTGGGCAGACACTCAACCCAGGAGCTGGCCCCTGGTGGTCAGTAAGCTCCCACAGGGGAAGTGCCACTCAGCCAGAAGCCAGGCTCATAGCTGGCGAGCGCAGCGGCTGTGATGGGAGCCTCTCCCGCAGTAAGGAGTGAGGGGTCCCAGACTGCAAGAGGGCACAGGCCAGGCTGAGTGACCCACCCCCTCCAGTGCACAAATTTCATGCACTGGGTCTCTAGTATATAATAAGTATAATGCCTGAAACATAGCGAGCATCCACAAATAGTGTCTGTCATTATTATCATGATGCCTTGTTGCTCTTGGCTCTGGAGTATCTTCCTACTCTAATGTAATTTACAGTTGTGGCTGGACACCACTGACCCTGGCTTTTGTCCTTTCCATGAGATTGCCACTTGCCTCAGCACAAGGTAATAATTTCAACATTATTTGCATTTCTCTAACTGTGATTCTGATTTCATCCAAACCAGAAAGATTAATAAAAATGTTATTTGAAAAATTCTACTATTGTATTGAAATTAATGCTGATATGTATCTGTGTTTAGAATATATATTGTTTACAGCCAGGGTGAAGTGGCTCAGTTGGTTGAGCGTCATTCTGTGCACCGAAAGGTTGCTGGTTTGATTCCCGGTCAGGGCACATACCTGGGTTTCAGGTTCAGTTCCCAGATGGAGCACGTATAGAAAGCACCTGATCAATGTTTCTCTCTCACATTGATGGGTGTTCTCTCTCTCTCTCTCTCTCTCTCTCTCTCTCTCTCTCTCTGCCTCCCTCTCTCCCCCCCCCCCACGCAGCCCCGGGGTTTCTCCCCCCCCCCCAAGCATGTTCGTGGGTGAGGATTTAAAAAAAAAAATTTTAATATCTTGTTTACAACCTTCATAACAATAGTGTTTGATATTAGAGTTGTATGCTAAAAAATAAAAAGAAGATGAACCAATAAAAAACAAAGAAGCATGCTACAGAATTGAGTAAAAGAAAACCCAGACAACTAACATAAAAACTGATAAAGTACAAGTTTGGTTTCAGCTTCTTTTATATATTAGATGTGCTCAAATTCTTAGAGGGCAAAAGGAGAAGATTTGGAAATAGTGGTGATGTGGAAAGAGCTGGGGAAAGATGGACTT